AACGCACACAGACCTCTGACTCTTCCTTAGAATTCTGTAGTATTTATACTCTGTCCATATGAAACGGCTGCATTGTGTTGATACCGTGTCAACCTGAGAAATGTTTTAATAATTTCTTTATTTCTCCTTTTTTCTAGGTATGCAACTGTAATTTTGCAATCTGGGATAGGGTAACAGCTCCATTTTGGAGTCTTCTCTATCTGCTTTCTCCAATGTTACTAGGCAATTCAGAAAATAGACAAGTTTTGCAATGGATTATTTGGAAGAGGATACGTATATGTGTATATATATATGAGAAAGACTTGTAATTTCTTGCTTTCAAAATAGTATCTTGTGCTATGGAGCTGGTTAATATATTGCACAGGAGTACGTCTATGTAAAAATTCTCCTACATTAGTAGTTACTAACTGTATTACCATTTATACTAGAAGCTACAGTTGTGAACCAAACCCTCATGATTTTAAGTTTTACAAACGTTAAACAAAGAGCTAGGTTCTGCCTCAATACAAAATGAAATGGAATCTATGTTTATGGACAAAGAGATGGAAAGAGGACATTGTTATTAGTGAACAGATAGTTTTGGGCCCAAATTCAGTCAAGGTTTATGTGCAGGCATCATATCAAATAAGTGATTTTATGGAGAAGAATGAGACTGGACAGAAATTTCTGCCAAATGGAAAGAAGACAACACAAAGGCATATTTCAATGTGTAATGTAAGAACAACTGAAGCTCTTATCATGTGAACTTTGGCGGCAGGAGTCAATGCATCAGTGCTGAGTGGTACCAAGAGATGATAAATAGAGCACAGATAGATAACTAAAGGCCTTGAAAGCAAATAGCTGCAGCAAATCCAAGAAACAGGGCTACGTTCATAATGTCAGGGCAAATAATTTAACTTGCCAGCAGCATTTGGAAGAAATATTGTCAAGGCTAGAAGAACAAATGGTATGGTATCTGTGTTGCAAAAATCACTGTTTCTCTCTTGAGTCAGCTATGTGGAAGGAAAGGAGATTATCTTAAAGATAATATCTGGAAACACTTAACAGTACTTACAGTTAGCCTAGATGTCAAGACCTAGAGAGATCCAAATCTTAGACATGGACCTAATGAGGGCAGGCAAAATGGTAAGGCTGTAAAGAAAGAAGATGCACTGGAAGATCTGAGAAGGGAGAATATATATCTCTTGTCGAATGTTTTTGTTGAGAGGCAGAAATAAGATTTTAGTCTGAGCAGAAAGAGGCCTGGAGGAGGGAAGCAGACTTATGGGGTCAACAGCATAGAGATAGTAGTTGCATCTGTCCTTGCAAATGAGATTATACAGAGCTAACATGGAGATAAAGAGAGAAAGACAGGAAGTGTCTCATTGAATGCTCATGGATGAATTAGAAGAGAGAATAATAATATAAAAGGATGAGCAAAAGCTCATAGTACACAGGGTTTTATGAAGAAAAATAGTGGTAGCTATGTGGAAAGTACCTGTCAGCTCAGAGAGCACATGGATCTGACATCTGGCTAAGAAAAGATCTCTGGAAACCTGTGAATGCTGGTCCATTGCAGTGCATGGGACAGAAATTGGTCTAGAAAAGATCTAAGATGAGAGAATTAGAGGAAATAAACAAAAGAGAAAAATTGCTGATGACGTACTGAGTATGCGCAGAGGCTGGAAGTATGACATGAGACAGAATAGAGGTGTCTGAGGCTAGGGATTATTTACAGAATAATGCATTTAGTACGGCAAGGAATTAAGGAAAAGTGTAAATAAGAGAGTGAGTTACAGGATGGAAATCAAACAATCATAAGTCCTGCCAGGATTCATGGGTAATAAATTATACTGGCCCAAACAATGACAATTCAAAGGTAGAAATTAAGCCTTTTGCTTACAATCCTATGTCAACCGTCTTATTCTTCCCAGTGTAGCAGTTTGAAACAATTTGTGATGGATATTGTGGATCTTAGTTTTGCCAAGAAATCTATTTCACTTCATGTCTTTCTCCAAAGTCTTTTCAGAAAAGAACCTGAGTTGCTTTCTCAGATCTCTTCCATTCTGAAATTCCACTTGTTTCCATTTTATATTTTTAAATTTTTTTTGTATTTGAAAATTGATTGTTTTTCAATTGTATCACATTAGCAAGTATTCTCATAACAAGATAAGACATGAAGAATATTTTTAAAGTATTAATGATGTAGTCAGCTATCTGATGTGGCTGGTTTGTTTTAGCTTAGTTATTATTCTTAGAGTCAGACAAACACCATATTACCCTATTGGCATATTTGCAAAGTATGTTACAATATATTGTCTTCTTTGAGAGAGGAGTTTTTAAATTAAAACTCAGGAGAGGATCTAAAATATAACTTACTGCAAGGTCACTCTGTTATCTTGTGAAACAGAATTACGACTCCATTCCTATTTTTCTTCCTGTTCAACATGAATCATCGTGTTTCCTACCACACTGGGAAGCAGCTTGTTTTGACTGGACAAATCTGCAGGAATCACTCTGCTGCAACAGTAGGCTCAACATCTCTCCTGTTAAATTTAGATAATTCCCTATTCATCCTTTGCAGTTAAAGTAACTGCCCCATTGTTGCTAACAGGTTGCTAAACATGATAACCTCAATGAACACGTGGCGTCCCTGCTTCCATTATGGTTGTCAGTGATGAAGAAAAAAAGAAAGAAAACATCAAATTGTTCTATAACCCTAACAAATAATGAAGCTCATTTTTCAGTAGACGTGTGCTATGTTTTTCAATGACAGCATTAATCCAGCTTTATTACACAACCCATGTGGGGCTCCCTTCTTGCTCCCACATGATACCAAGCCTCTTTAGTTCCCACCATAAATCCCTTGATGGTACCACCATGTTCTCCTTGTGTTTATGGCTCCCAGCTGGGCAAGGAGGTGGTGATGTGGCTCTGAGCTCCCAGGGTGCCAGTGGCTGGTGCTTGGCTCTTGGCTGGTCTCTTGCTGAACTCACATCCCTTACACTGAAAGCACAGCTTGTTCTTCTTTGGGGACATTCATCTGACACTCTAACTCAGCTACTGACCTTCATGAAACTTACATGAACTTCATACATTTGAGACCTCTCATCTCAGTCACATCTTTTTGCAAATGGTGAAGTGGCTAGAAAGTCAGGTAGGGCAAGAAGTCAGAGAGGATGGCTTGTTCCTTCCAAAACCTAAAAGCCAATGGGAAAAACATACTAGAATGCTACATTCCCCATTCCTGTGTTTCTTAGTACTTCTGAGTAGATGGCTTTTCTCTCACCCTAATGTCTGGACCAATTTGCCCTGTAAAGCAGATTGCTCTTGAAAATCATTGGGTTTTTTTTTCCTGTAGTTCTATCATCTCCAAATCTGAAACAAGTAATTAAATTTACAGTTTTTGTCTTCTGAGTCGAGCTGAACAAACTAGGTTTAGGTACTCCAAAGTCTGAGGGAATTCAGAGAGAAACAAGTCAGCTCTGAAACATGCAAGTGTATGGACTGGTTTTTTTTTTTTTTCACTTTCCCAAATTCTCACTCTTTGTGGTTTAAATTCCCTGCACTGGATGCTGACATTTACATTAAGGGAAAGAAATACCAGGTACTAGTTGGTTGCCTGTAATAAAAGGTGCATTGCTTTCATCTGCAGAGGAGATATATGCTTTTGTTAGGTCCTCTCATCTCCTCATAGATGTTGTTCACTCAGCTATGAACTCCCACAAACTCAAGGGGCCTGGAGCCTTTTCCACATGATACCAGTTTGATGTCTTATGTACAAAGTCTCTTTGCTTTTTTTTTTTTCCCCCTCAGTTTTTCTGCATGTTAAAAACTGACATTTGCTTCCTCAAATAAGATCTTAGAATGGAAAGTAATATAAAATCTAATTCTTGTGCCATGCTAGGTTTGTATATTCTTGCATCTCAGTAACTCACATGGAAAATATGCTGCTAACATTTCTGCATTGCATGCCCATGCAGCTCCAGCACTCTTGAGCAGAATTTGTCTTTACGATGGAGTAAGCATCTTCAGTGGGACGAGGGTTACCCCACATCCTCTCATCACGCTCTGTGGCGATGAACTGCCTGCTCCAGTCAGTGTCTTTGGACCTATGCTGCTCAACTTCTACACCGACTCCCACATCACAGGCTTTGGATTCCAGGCACGATACAGAGCAATCGGTGAGTAGCCACTGTTCTGTGCTTCAGGTGGTGGAAATACCCTGGATGGAGAATGGTTCAGTGTAAGAAATGTTGTACCTCATTTTAGGAGTACCTTAGATGGCTGTAGACCATTCATGTTCCCTTTGCACTTGCCCAAAAGAGCTCTCAGGACCAGGAGATGGGACTATTTGACATGTATTGTTACTGACTGGTGTGTTATTTCACAATTCTTATGTCAAGATACTACATGGGACCAAGAACTGAAACACTTTTCCTTTGTTGTAGAAAAGAAATGAGACCCATTTTGGCAGGTTTATTTTTTTTTGTTTTTGGTTTGGTTTGGTTGGTTGGGTTTTGGTTTTGTGGTTGGGTTTTGGTTTTTTTTTTCCCTCAGTGTTTAAGGAGAAACATCAGCAGTTTATTTAACTGATTTCATTTAGAAGGTTTCATCACATACAGGAGAACATCAAGGAGAACTTTATTCTCAGTTTTACTAAAACTACATTATGCAACATGAGAACCAGAACGTGATTTTTAAATGGACCCAGCTATATGCCTCTATTTAATTACCCTCTTGCAGTGCCAGGTATAAATGTAAATAAAAATTGGGATCTAGAATTTTTTTTAAAAATAAATATTTTCACCAAAATTTTTGCCATTCACTTGAGATTTCTTTTGTTTTAAAGAGGAAATATGTACTAGAAAAAGAAGTTTCCAAGTGATTTTAGAATTTACATCTGTGGAAATACAAAAACCACAGAAGATTGATTTTATTTTCAAAACCAATTTTAATATTTTCTTGGTTTAACTTGTAGAGGCAGTACTTAGATTTTTTAAAGCATCATCTTCTAACTGCAGAGAACAGCATGAGTTCTTAACTTGGGTATTTCCCCTAATGCATTCCTCATGTTCAAAGCCACAGCAAAAAGCATAAGGCTAAATTCTTTATATAAAATGAATGGCCTGATACAGATAAGATAGAGGGAATGGCACTGAGAAATTACAGTGTGTGGTTACTCATGGAAAGGACCTTCAGAACTCTCTCAAGTCAGTTGCTGCTATCTGACTTGTGACTTCTGACATTTGAGAAATATGACTGCAGCCTTATTAGCTTGTTGTATACAAAGCAGATTCTAGCAATTAACATTCCTCTTCCCTCTAGCTGTATTGTTTGCTGTGAAAAAAAAGAAAAAGGCTTCCTCGTCCTAGTGTAGAATAATGTAGGTTCTTTATCTTCTCAGCTCCTGTCCTTTATCTGCCAGTGCTCCAGGCTGCCAGCTGAGGAGCCAGGGGCTCTGTATCCAGCAGCACCCTGTACAGGACTGCCTTCATTGAGGTGGTGATCTGGGAAATGGCATGTCCTTCAAAATATGAAAAGCTGTGTGTGGCTTTAAGATATTTATCAACAGCATGCAGGGAAACGTTTTTTGCCAAGTTAAGTTTATAAAGGCTGAAGCTAACAATGGAGATTAGGGTTGGTTTTATAATAGTTTTTGTTGCCTCAAGCACCGAAGATGGAAGGAAACATTATCCACAACTTGGCCTCATCAGCATCTGTGGTGAGAAACCTTAAGAAGCCAAGCAGTGTCTTCAGTTCAGAGCTGCAGAGTTTGACAACCTCCTCAGCCACAGAGCAAGTATACAGTCCTTCATTTCAGTCACCCCAAACTGCTGGTGAGGCCCAGCACAAAGAACAGTCCCCAGGGCTAGTGACCCCAAGGGCTGACTGCTCTCTGTCTTTCTGCACAGAACAAATGCTCCAGTAATGCCCCAGCCCTGCAGGGAGGAGGAGAGATGATGAGGCTCTGCACAGTTATTGCAGAAAAGTCAAGGGCAGGGATATGCATCCAGTTGTGGCTGCGTTCTATTCAGCGCCAAATTTTCAGGGGCTTCCCTGGGGTCAGGATTTGGATGAAGCTATTTCTTTGTCCACATATCAGCCATGTTTCTCTTGGCAAGCTTGAATGGGTGCAGAACTCCTCCAGATGCACCTGACACCCTGGTGCATGGGGCACTCTGCCCATCCTGCTGCCCCCTGGTCCTACTGCAGCACATGTGAAATCCGGCTCAGTCTTCTCCTGCACAAGCATGGAGCCATTGCCATTTGGCAGGGACTAATAACAACCTTTTACTTTGACACCGACTCTAGCTTTCCACTGGAGAGCACAATCTGATACATATCTCCATATCTAACAGTTCTAGGTGTAACAGCAAAGACTGCTCCTAGTTTATCAAGGACTTTTCTTTCCTTATGGCTAAAAGAGGACTAACACAAGCTTCTGCAAGAAATACAAGAATTGGGATCAAGCTGGTATTCAGACAGTAATTGATCTTTCTGTTTCCCCTACAGCTTGTGGTGGCACTTTCAGTGGCTCTGTTGGTGTTATCAGCAGTCCAGCCCATTCAGTTCTGGATTACCACAACAACATGAACTGCTCGTATTACATCAGAGTTGGAGATGGCAAAGTAGTGTCACTCAAGTATGTAATCCAGGTTCAGTTTGTCATCAAGGGAGAGGGAGGTGTCTGATTCCAGTTAAAGACAGTAATTATTGACATTCTTTTATCTGTTTTTCCCTTTCTGAGAGGAAAGCCAAACTAAAAGGAGAAATGGCTACTGAAGCCACCTTTCTCAGATGCCCTAAGTCTTTCACTGTAGTTTGTTATGTCAAAAACATCAACACAACTGTAACTTCCCACTTTTGTCAGCAAGAGGATTAAGAAATTGTAAAATTACAGCTCATGTTCTTAGTTAAATCTGTCAGCCTTTGAGGAGTTGAGACTTCTATACGTTGACATGGGAAAAAATTTAATTTTTTTAGAAGGCTGCTACAAGCCCAAGTAATAATATCCACCCAGAAAGAGCAGACTTCTGAGTGGGTATGGTCCTGCCTAAAAAAGAGAGATCACTGCCATGAAATCTTGCCACTGAGGCATTAAAAGATATGTTCCTGTCAGATATATATGCTGATTGTGGATGAAAAGAGCATTTCCCAAGTGAATGACCTGGCTGGTCTGCACTCTGAGCCTGCATTTTATACACTCCTCATGTGCACAACAGAACTGCAAGCTGAGCAATCTGGAGCAGTGGGAGAGGGTGTGTTTGCACAGGGGGGATCTGCTGCTCCAAAGGAAGTCGATGTGTGCAGACAGCTTCCCTTGCAGGGGGCCGAGTGGGTGAGGGTCACTGTCTCTTTGAGGCTGGTGGGACCAAGTGTTTTGCCATGCAGCTAATCATTCTGCTTGCTTGTTCCTGAAGAGAAATGTTTTGTGATATCTGTCTGTGTATGGCTTCAGCTATTGCTATTATTTGCATCTTTTAATCAAGCACTAAAAACACACATAACACAAAAACAGAAGTCAACATCTGATCCCTAAAGCTCCATGTGTATTTCTACAGATTCAACAGCTTCTATCTCGAATTATCTCCCTCCTGCTACAAAGATTATGTGGCTGTATACGATGGCTCAGACACCCATGCTCCTCTCCTTGGGAAATTCTGTGGCTCTGAACTGCCTCCAAATATTAAGAGCTCCAGTAATAACTTGTTCCTCGTGTTTAACACTGACTCTTTTGGAGCAGACAGGGGATGGAAAGCATCTTTCAGAGAGACCTTAGGTAAGACTATTATCAGACTTGTAATCCCAAGAATCTGCTAGTAAGTAATTTCCTTTGTGGAGGAGCAGTTATGGTCTCACTAGGCGTGCTGGAAACAGATTTTTTTAAAATTTATTTTATTTTATCAAAAATGAGTGAGCTAAGCTAAATACTAAACTTATGGGATCCCTGCATTCCAGCCCTGGTTCTGAACAGATTTCTTTTATTCCTTGCTAACCTTTTCCCACCTCTCTGAAGGCACAGGCATTTCTTGGGTGGCTGAAGGCTTAGCAGCACACAAAGCCCTCTCTTTTGGAGGAAATCTGGCAATACCTGAGACCTATTTCTTTTCTAGACAAAGTTTAGTGGTGCCCTAAAGATGCCTCCTTTCCATGCATCATCCATTTCCTTGCAGTTCGTTCACCTCTTACTTCTTAAAAAAACTATAGGGTTAAGATTGGTTAAGGTTGTGGTTCCCTCAGGCACCACTTTGCTGATCTCTGCTGATTCTGTGTATCAATCTGGTTATCTGGCCATAACATAAATGGGATCACAGTGAGAAGGCACTGGATGTTAAATGTTTTGATGGACACAAGAGTCACAAAGCTTGATTATTACCTTAAAAGAAGGAGTAGTCTTTTTTTAAGATTAAGTAGCCCACTAGTCTTTATTTAAGATCACAGTGTAAAAGCTTTTTAAGATCACGGTGTAAAAAAAGGTTTTTACCTTTTTATAACATCTGAATTGTTTTGAGATTATAGAGATAATTATTACATGTAAATTGATTTCATAACATGGCTACTAGTTTCCTGTGTAATTAACTCAATGTTTTTGTGATCTAGAAAGAAATTATTGTCTGGTTTACAAAGCTGGCACCCAGACAGTTCAGAATGAAAGGCCTTTGTGGCAGAACACACATAGTCTTCTGCTGAGTCATTGAATCCCCTCCCAAACCCTTGCAAGCGACTTTTGCATTTGATACAGTCTGAGAAAGTGTTTACAGATAAGGAAAATAACTGGTTCTACAGACTTTGCCAAGAGAAATATTCCCACAGAATCTCATGGTCATTACTATTATTAACTCTTCCTTTCCTTCACTCTAAATAATTGTTCCAAAAATTTTTAAGGCCACTCTTGTGAACTGTTACTTCAAGTAACATAATGTTGCTTCACATGTTGCTGTCTTTAAGCCCATAGATATCAGTTGTCAGAGATCCACCACCGGCCTGGGTTTGTGTTTTCAGGGTGAGATCATCAGGAATTCCCTGAGCTCTTGCTCTTCCTGTTGGCATACATTCAGGTTTTTCAGCCACTGACTTTAGATTTATTTGTGCAACTTGCCAGAGATTGTGCTTACGTACACAGCAGAACACAAGCCAGGCTCTTCAAGTCAGTACCACATCTGGTAATTTCCTGGAGTGAAGAGAAGCGTTTTACAAATAAACTTCAACATCTATTAGTTTTGGAGGGAAGTTTCTGCAGGCTCCCAAAGAAAGGGAGGTTGTGATATTGCAGGAAGTTACTCAGGAGCAATGGAGTTGCAAGCTGGAAAAGCTGGCCATGCAGAGATGTGGGTCTCCTTTTTCTGCTGTGGGAAGCAAACCACAGGGGCTAAACCACATAGTTATTAGGAAGGATCTTGACAGTCCATGCTAGTACAGAATGGCCAAAAAGTAGAAAAGTATATTATAAAAGGAAAACATGAGTCACAGTCCTATGAATGTTTCCAGTTTGACTTGTCCAAAAAATAGAGCCAGGAAAATCTGTGACACATCTTTGTACTATGAGGTTTGAGATTCTGCTTAGAATGAAAGAGAATAAACCCACAAAGATCTAAAAGCCTGTTATTGTAAATAATGCCACAGAGAAGCTCACTCATGCTTGTCGAAAGATAAAACCCATGTGGTATTGTAGAAGTACAAATGCAATCAGATGACAATTAATAATGATAAATCTCTTGGATAGGAAGATGATATCTGTAGAGAAACAAGAAACTGCATTCTCTGTTGGATGACAAGGAGCACATTATTCTGTGGTTACCCTAGGGAAGCACCACTGGATAATGTAATTATTGCTCTCTATTTAATTGTGAGTAACCCTGATTATGTATTGGAAAGAAGCGAGAAGAAACAGTATATTTGTTTGTAGCAAACTAATCTATTTCCTTTCCTCACAAGCTCTTCCAGTTTCTTCCCTGATCAGGTTTCTTTCAGGGATACTGCCAAAATCTAGGGTTATCCAATCTTTCTCTTGTGTGAATTTTATTTGTAAGGAGTCCATCTGACAGCCAGTGTGGTGGGTGGGAAAGAAGATGAAGCAGAAAACTCACAGCAACCTTGCAAGACTCACAGTAGCCAGGCACTCAAAGAGTTAAACTCTGAAATTTCTGTAGAAAAACATGCTCTGTTTTAAGTAAAACAATTTGTTTGCATCATTGATCCTGCACCCACTAGAATTTTGAAGTTTCCTCCACTAGTCAGAAAAGGAAGACTAACAGAAACAAAAGACTATTAATTTGACAGTACAGCAACACTTCACCTTTTTTGTCAGATGTCTTTTCTTCCACACTACTACTCCATATGCTGTGCAATGTATTGTTAAAGGCACATTTCACAAGCAGCATTATTTGTCACAGCCAGCTCTGTGAAATGGTGCGTTTGAGGCAGGGGAATATATGGCCCTTGTTGGTGCAACTCAGAGGGTTTATAATTTCACTCTCTCTGCTGCTAAGTTTGGACACTTATTGGCCTAATTTTTGGAATCGCTGGATTTGCTCTCAGGCTGAGCTGGTGAACTAGGCTGACTGGAGGATCCTGGCCTGTTCCAAGTGTTAGATTTGTGGAAAGAAAGACTTCTCTTACCTTAGTTACCACTGACCTTTTTTCTGCCTTTGTTTTCAGTCTGTAAAATGAGAATTACACCTCCTTTCCAGAGCAAGGATGTGCTCCTCTAGGCAATCAATAAATGGATGAGGAGAGAGAAATCAATATCAGCTTAAGGCATTTGGTTATACAAGATGTCTCTGTGAAGGAAAACTAAGATCTCTCCCCAAAGAATGAGGTCTGCACATCCTGAGCTTATGACTTGGCCAAAGATCTCCTGATTATCTCTCCAGCTCAAAGGGGAGACCTGAGCTTTTCAGCTGACCCTGGCTGGCAGGGACAGAGCCTGCATATTCCTCTGCCATCCCTGCTGTAACAGCAGGGACTTTATAGTTTGGTGAGAAACGGAGCTTCTGCCTATTCCCATTCAGCAGTGGAGTGATCCTCTCACCCCAATTTGAGATCCCTCTGAGGCTTATGATACAAAGGTTGAGAAGACATATAAGGGATTGTTGTGGGTTTTTTTTTCTTGTTTTTAAAGAGTCAGCAGTGCCTGTCAGGAGATGTAGCTGTGACCTTATTAACAGCACATCATTTCTCTTTGGCAGCTCTCTGTGCTTGTGGCCATTGTCTCACTAATGAAAACCACATCACGTTCTAAATCATCAGAAAAGGACCTAGGGGTTTTCTGAAAGGCAGGTCTGCTCATGAGGGCTGTCTGAGGAAGTCACACGAATTAACAAGCAAGTGTTACATGCTGTTAGAAAAGCAGATTGAGTTAGAAAGTCCTTCCTAAGCTTTTTTCACAGAATAAAGGCAAAACTGGAATTGAGGTGGGACATGGGGGAAAGTGGGATGGAAGAGGGCAGGAAGATTGCCTGCTCTTTCTCTGCAGCCCTAAATCCTGCTCCATTTCAAGCTGTAGCCAGCTCTTCCCCCGACACCCACCCTCCCCACCCCCCTGTATTATTTTTATATTATCTCTTGTGAGCATGCAGGAGAAATTCACATTTATACTTTGTGTGACAGAGCAGTATGGAGTATTGCATTAAAACTGGTGTCACCCATTGTCTGCATTACCTTGGGGCTTACAAGTTCGGGGGCTGCAATTCTGCTGCACTAGACCCTGCACAGGCAGAATAATGCAACAATCTGCTGTCACAAGTTGATTATGAATTAAACACAAGATGAGGAAAACCAGATGGATATAGACAGGCAAGAAGAATAGGTTAGCAACAATGAGAAAACTAATGTTGTAGGCTCTAAGGCAGAAGAAACTCCTCCAAAATCTTTGGCAACCGTTGTGAATGTGATGTTCTTAAACACCCTGTCCTCTTCGTTGTCCTCAGTTTGCCCAGTTTTTCCCTCAAGGATCCTTCCATCCTTTTTATTCAAATGAACATTCCTGTTAAACGAATATTAATAATTTTACAGAGGAAAGAAAAATGTTAAGCCCGTAGAGTTTAGAAGAAAAATAGCCGGAAAAAGGAATCCTCTCTGATACATGCAGAAAATGTATTCATAGGTAATTTACCTAAATAAGCTAGTATGCATACAATAGAAACAGATGATAATCTATATGCTTTTCTTCCTGATGAAATGACCTGTAGCTTACCTGATAAATCACCCGGAGGTATCTGTTTTCCCTTATTCTATTAGCTGTGTATTCAATTACTTGTTTCCTGTTTGGAATACAATACATTTCATTACATATCATACAATATCATTAATGGGTTTACTGTTATGCGCTCCCCGAATGAAATTAAAGTGTACTTTTAAAAAAATGGATCCAATAGAATTTTCACAGCTTATTTTATCATTAAAAATTTTGCTTCATAGAGTTCAAAGTTCGGTTCCACCCTGCAAACTGAAAGTTTGGCTCACTCTGTTTTCAGTTTCTAGATGCAGATTTTTCAGCAATGCTCAGCATGCCCATTTTTTCTGGAGTTTTTCTGGGTTGTTCAGAATTGCTGGGGGGAGTGGCAGGGAAAGGCAGTTCTGAGTGAGCAATATAAGGTGTAAAATATTGGTATGGTTATTCTGTAGCATAAGTCAGGATTAGCTGTTCTTTGGTGGGTCATTTCTAAATTCTTACACCACCAGAAGTAATTCATTGCACTGATTTGTGTACATAACTTTAGCACTTGCTGCAGGTGGCACCAGGCATCTGTACTGACAACAGCAGTTATGGCCTGTTGG